GAGAACCCCTTAGTCGTATCTCTTCAGTTTCAAGGCACTCCCCTTGTTGCCTTAGACAATATCGAATCCTTCGACGACGTCGACACATCAAGTGACGTGCAGTTTCGTGGTCACTTCGAAGAGAAGGTCAAATTGGCCTCTAAAAATCTTGGCGTGCTCAGCAGAGCGAGACAGTATTTCATGCCGACTCAGCGCCTGCAACTTTAAAAGGCGCAGGTTCGGCCGCACAAGGAATACTGTTCCCATCTTTGGGCTGAAACTTCCCAGTGCCAGCTCCTTCAATTTGATCGCTCCAGCGCAGAGCTGTTCGAATCATCGGCGACCGAGCTCAGTCCGATAGGCTTGACTCTTGCATCTCTTGCGGATTCGACTACCACCAGAGATTTTTTCGAACCGATACGACTTTGGGACCTTCATGACTACTCCTTTTTAAAAGGCCGGCAACGCATCTGCAATTCCGCTGTTGTTACAGTTGTTCATGCGCGACGGTAGTCAGTTGCCATCAGGTGAGCAGTATGCTCGTCTGCACCTCTCCTGTAAAAAAATGCAATAATTACTGGTCAGCAGTCATTTTAAATAGTTAATTAACATCATGCCCAAATTTTTGCCTATGTCTAACATTACATAATAACTTAATTTTTTTAAATATCTAAATTACTTCTTAAGTTTATATTTCATGTGCACTCTCATAGAATGTGGGTGAAAATAATCAGACAGTGTGTGTAAACAATAATGTAAACAGTATACACTGATGTTTTATTAAGTAGTCAATACGCTCCTCATACATAACCACTAGATCAATCATGGAAAATATGTGTTCTTTTACCTTATTATTCCTGAGCCGATGCATATTTATTTGATATAATTTGCAGGTAGTTTTTAATGATATAATGCCCAGACCGGCAACAGGCAACACCGTCAAAGGTGCGAGTCGTATAGTACTGCGACTGTCAATCTACCCGCACCGCGCGACGATTAAGGCAAACTCTCTACTACTGTGACTAATACTACTCTCTATTACTGAGACTAATGTTCAGCAGTAGACATTTATCAGCTGATGAAGAAGATTAAATAATTTTATTTCTAGTTTCAAATACGTTACACTAGGATTTTCTCCTGTATCGTGGAGGCGGTTTACATACACAAATTGCACAAGCATCTTGGACAAACATCCAGAACCGGAACAATAATTTTTAGGCCATGCAAACGCTTGACCTTGGAGCCGTGGTAGCTCAGATGGTTAGCGCTCGCTGTAAATTCCACAGTACGCGAGCAAACCGGGCTCGATCCCCGCCGGCACCAATGAAATTGTTTATTGCAATTTTAAGTGCTAATTACCCCGTGCTCGACGGTGAATGAAAACAACGTGAAAGCATGTGAAGGCATGTGAAGTTCGCCAACCGGTATTTGGGCAGCGCGGCGGACAATTCCTTGTCCTAAAACCTTCTCAGAATTGAGCGCAGCACTGCCCAGGAGTGGGATGTATATAGGTTGTTTTTTTTTCTTTATAGGATAGGGTAACAAACGAGCACACAGTCCACCTGATGGTAAGTGGTTGCTGTGGCCCATAGATATCAACATCTATCCTCGATTACGAAACAAAATGCAGATGCGTTGTCCGTGAGAACTTAGATGCAATGCCTCGTTGCCAGTAAAAAGGGTCTCCGGTTCCCTACACTCACCACACGAAACACAGCAGCATTAAGCTACTATTTGACGCTGGTATTCTGTGAGAATGTGGCCCATCCTCGGTCGAGCTGACCCATTCGTGCTACAACTATACTACTAATATAACTGCGGCGTGGCTCTACCAATTATCAATAAATTTAACTTTAACTATAACAAACACTTGTTCCACGATTCGAAACCGGGGCTTGCAGCGCCGCATTGTATGAGCTTTGTCACACTAATAGCTTTGGTATATTAGATAAAGATCTACATTTCTAATGAGGCGATATAATCTATTTTAATCTTATGCGCTTTTAATTTACGCAGCCTCTTTTGTACCTAAGGTAAAGTTTTGCACACACTGGCTCACATGCAATGCTGCTTTACGGCAAGTATAGGTAACGGTTAAACGGTAGGTAGATGGTAAATGGTGGTACCCACCCAACCAGACTCCTAGACAGGAGAAGACCGACTACCTAGTAAATAGTTTATTAATAATGTAGGTACTGATTACCCGGATATTGAGGCATAACGGAATTTATTTAAAAGATGTTCTGATAAACGGGGATAGTCCACTTGATTGTATTTATTAAACTATGCATGTACACAGACAATCTATTACTCATCCCTACTACAGGTTGGTCGATACAGGGAGTCACTGTGTCACTGTCACACAGGGAGTCACTGTGTCACTTTCACACAGGGAGTCACTGTGTCACTGTCACACAGGGAGTCACTGTGTCACTTTCACACAGGGAGTCACTGTGTCACTGTCACACAGGATACCTAGAGCGACTACATGAATACCTAATATCGGTCGACAGGCTGCCCTACTTGCTCTTCTCCCCAAATCCAGAAATTCCTTGACATTTCTGTTTTCGTTTTCAGATTATCGTCGTATCAAATGGAAATTTCGACCAGTGGCAAGTAGTACTCATAACAATTAAATTTTATTATTATTTTTCGGATATATTGTATCTACAATTCTCGTCCGTTTGGGACTTAAAAATTAATATATTTATTTATATAAAAACAATCATAATGATTTCTTATATTTACGCGAACACTATACATTGATTAAAACTACTTTTACGGATTTTATCGCGTTTTATTTATATTAATTTTAATACCCGACGTTTCGGGTGCTTTCCAGCACCCATGGTATTAAAATTAATATAAATAAAACGCGATAAAATCCATAAAAGTAGTTTTAATCAAAACAATCACAAATTAGATAAAATACTTGTTGACTATAATAATTCTAAAACTCGAAAATAAAGTAAAATAAATAAATAAAAACCCAACCATAGGGCAGGGCAGCAGAGCATACCCAACGGCCGCGCGTTAGGCGTAGGGAAGGAAACCAGTGTAAAGGAAAGTTCGAAAAGCACCGTCTTCTGCATTTGAACCCGGAGCGGACCTTCGCAGAATCCCAGCCACTTCAAATGACCCGAGCGGCTGACCGAGATTAACCTGTTGGAAGAAACCACCTCCTGAGTCTGGTTCAGATTTTTCTTCTTAGTTAAGTAGCCTTAGTTTTATCTTCTTAATTTGTATAACTTCCAGAAGGTCTCCCTAGTAAGTATTTAATTTAAAACAAATTCGGCAAATTTGGCAAAATTGTACTTATTTTAAAGGAATCCGTTAGCTGAAACCTACCTGACACCAGATTGCAAGTATTAAGGCTACGGTTGCATTGTCATCGCTACGAGTACGTACAAAGATGGAATACTTTACATCTTGAACCTAAAACTGAAACACCACATTGAATGTTCCGCCATTTATATCTACGTCACTACTACAACATGACAAAATTCCAAAAAATCATTTAAAATTTTAAAGTTTACAATGTATACTATTCTTTATTCTAAAAAAGTGTTTATTTCTTATCATCTCACAAGATTATTATAGAATCAAGGTCACATTTCATTTCTCATTAAACAAATACTTGTTAAGGAGCAGGCATGCTGTTGAATATTTATTATCACCCTCGCACTTTCATACGGGGTATAAAATCAGAACAAATAACATGTCTTAACACATTCGATAAGGGTGAATTGCGTGGAAAACTTCGAAGGTAAGTGGTTTTATTAAGACATTGTTAATTAAAATTACTAATTCTCCTTCTTTTTAGGATAATAGGAGTCTACTACTGGTCATGACCCTCTGCTATTGTGGGCATTTATCGTCACGCTGAGGATTCTTACTGTCAGGCGGATTGATGACTTTGACACTGATTACCGCCGGTCTTGGTTTTTTACGCCTGGCATAGACGAGATAATAAATATAATAGTTATTCTATTTCATGATGAAGGTTTGACTTTGGTTGTTGTTAGCCGTGCACATACACATTGTGTTAGTGTGCGTAGGCCTCGGGAGCGCTCAGTCACGATCGCGAGTCGAATGAATCGCAGTTACACAAGTGTGTAACTGCGATTCATTCGGCTCGTGTTTGTACACGGCTGTCGGTACACGTCACTACTACAATCAAGGCAAAGCCTTCATCGTGACATCAAATAACTATACCACCGCTCACCGGAGTCCATAAGATTTAAACATAACTTTTACAGGCTGATGACGGTAAAGATAATGGAGCGAGGGATTCCATCTTCGTTAAGTATCGTCTACTTTTTTTATAATTTCCAGCCCAGCTCAATGAATATGGGTTAAACTACAAAGAAATAATGCTGGCTAATTTTTTAAAAGATCAAATCCAGCAGGTTACCTTAAAAGGCTGTTGACGTTCCTTACTTGTTGTGTGTCTTACTTTTAAAATAATAAACATTATTGTATCTAAGTCCTGACCTTTTTGATACTTTATCATCAAACCGTGTTAAAGTGTAATTAGCCTAACAAAAATCGGACACGCATTTAAAAAGACTAACTTGTCCGTCCTAATCCGGACGCCTGGCAGCCCTAAGTGGACAATATCCACGAGCTAGAATAGACACTGAAAATGATTTTGTTGGGGCTTTGGATTAGGACACGGTTGGGACGGAGCGTAGACTTCATTAAAGTAACCTTTCCAACTTAGCGTAGAGTTGCATTTTGGTCGTCAAAATGAAGTCAATCTGACTTTCCGTTGATGTTTATCTAAAATAATTTTATGCATAACTTAAGGTTTATTTATTGCTAAGGCTGTTTAATTTCGTAACTTATGTTAATTTTGTTATAGTTATCACAGAAACGGAGACTTTTCTTTTAAATAATTGATATTGATCAATCCTTTCCAGATGTTACAAAAGACGTTTACCATTATAACGCTTTCCATGTTGATTTCAACTTGCTGTGGTCACATTGGTGGCCAGATATCACTTCAAGATGTTAAAGATATGAAACCACAGAAGTATTGTGGACCGACACTAGCAAAGACCTTGGCGCTGTTATGCTACGACGAAAGCGCTGGCGTCGGGAAGCGAGCTGAATATAATTCCGTATATAGTAAGAAATTATAATTTTAAACATACTTTAAAATAGCATCTTCCAAAAGTTGGTATGACGATGAACAAGGGTAACATTTCAAGTAACGTTAAAGCTCTTCAGGCGTTCAGCTCCAGCTCTTCGATAACAAACAAATCGATACCATCCAATGACTTATATAATTGATCTGAAATTATAATTTTAGTGCTTTTTTTGACTGCCTCGTTGATCTAGTGGTTTTAGTAGTGCGACTGCTGATCATGAGGTCCTGGGTTCGAATCCCGGGTCGGGCCAAAAAATCAATTATTGAGTTTTTCCGCCAAGAAATTCTCAGTAGCTGCCCGGAGTCTGGAAGTTGGCGATGTCTCACCCCTGTGCCTCGGAAAACACGTAAAGCCATAGGTCCTGCGCTCGATCTCTCTCCGGTCGTGTCGGTTTACCGTCCCATCGGATTAAGAGGGTGAGGGAATAGAGAGTGCACCTGTGCTTGCGCATACATTTGGGCACTGTAATCCTGTCCTGCGCCGATGGCTAGTCTCCGTTGAAACTGGCCGCCATGACCGATGATGATGAAACTCGCAGGATTATGATTTGACATTACTGGGCGGACGGGAAACACACCGAACGCGCCACTTCCTGGCCTTAAAAAGCAGCTTAATACTGCTTTGTTTCGTATGGTGAATGTAGAGATTCTGAGACCCTATTTTACTGAAAACGAGGCATTCCATCTTAGTCCTCAGGGGTGACAACGCATCTGCGTGTTGATGCTTAATCAAGGACAAATGTAGTTGTATATGGACCACAGCATCCACTTACCATCAGGTGGACTGTGTGCTCATTTGCAACCCTTATTCTATAAAAAAGAAACCTAACTGCCTGTTAAGCAAAGATTATAGAATTAAAGAAAAAAATCGTTTCTGACATAGAAGGCCTACGCATAGCAGTGACCATTTGATAAACCGTTGCATAAAATATTTGAATATGATTTATTCTCCATACATTGATACACAATTACAATTTATTAAAAAACTGCTTATATAACAATATCTTAAAATTAGTTCTTACCATTTTCAATGTTAAATATCAGATAAGCTGCTGTGCGTGTGACCTACCTCTTACGTGTAGTGGCGGCTTAAGACAATTCACTTCCGGCCCCATATGATTCTCCTGTGCATTATTCCGGAAGTCGTATGTTCAGTGGTAGACCTTTGATTGGTTATAATTTTTTTTATATACCCGATGGTGATTGCTGTGGCCCATCTACGTCTATTCTCGATTAAAAATCAAAATGCTGACGCGTTATCGCCCGCGAGGACTAAGATGGAATGCCTCATTTCCGTAAAAAGGGTCTCCAGTTCTACACTCACTATACGAAGCCCAGCAGCATTAAGCTACTATTTTACGCAGGTATTCTGTGAGAGCAAGCGAATGGGTCACAGCGTCCACTTACCATCAGGTGGACTGCGTGCTCCATTGTCACCCTTATTCTATAAAAAAAAAGATGTAGCTGCCCATCACTTGTTCTGATTTCCCTCAGTCACCTCTTTGCGATGAGCCGTGGTAGCTCAGTGGTTAACGCTCGCTGTAAATATAACAGAACGCGAGTAACCCGGGTTCGATCCCCGCCGGCACCAATGAAATTGTTAATTGCAGTTTTAAGTGCTGATTTACCACGTGCTCGGCGGTGAAGGAAAACATCGTGAGGAAACCTGCATGTCTGAGGAATAAGAAAAAAAAATATTTCGAGGACATGTGAAGTTCGTCAACACGCATTTGGGCAGCGCGGCGGACACTTCCTTGCCCTAAACCCTCTCAGAAATGAGGGGAGGCCTGCGCCCAGCAGTGGGACGTATATAGGCTGTAACTTTACTTTACTTTACTCTCTTTATGACACCCATGGGACGATATGGAGAAGTGGATATTCTTACACTGCGGTTAGGTGCTGAACGATGCTAGTGTCAAATATAAAAAATTGTATCTTGAACTCGTGGTTTTTAACATACCTAAGCTTGTCATTGTTCGTTTATCCAATTAAATAATGAAAAATATTACGTTTTCTACAGACGCAATTATGCCTCCGTTTTATAAAGAGCAAGAAGTCCCTTACTGGCCATGGCTATCACCTGAGAAGGCTAGGAGCATGGGATTGCCGTCACGCGGGAAACGCTACGTGGGCGTTGTTGACGAATGTTGCTTCAAAGCTTGTAGTGTAGATGAATTACTCTCATATTGTTAGATGATTTATTATCTGTATCGTCTATAGATTATAAACATAACTCATTATAAATATAATCTGTATTTATGTCTAAAAGTTTATTTAAAATTATGATAATTTTTGTATTTTACTAACTTATTGTAAAAACTATTATCTTTTCTGTAAATAGCTAAATGTATACAATATGTCGTAATTTTATAAAATAATATACTTAATCTATTTAATAAAATATTACTTATTTGCTTGGCATTCAAAATATTTTTTTGGATCAGTCTTTTTAACTTTAAGAATTGTGTAACGCTAAGTAAGTATATCCCTTCGCCTTCAAAGCGTAGTACCACCTTGTCGTGGCGGAATAGTCTATAAGATAAGTGATGGCACCACGGTGGGTGAGGAAGTACCGCGGCCAAAACGTTATATTTAGCGTATTGTACTCGTATATATTGGCTTCGTTTTAACGTTTGGTTTGCTGAGTTGGGAAAATTCATTAATATCAATTACAAGTCGAAGTCTTTTCTACACGCTATTTTATTAAATTTACCAGTACGTACTTTAAAGTAAAATGTACTAAGTATTCCGTATGTGCGTAACTACATATTACTTCAATGGATACCTATGTATATGAAAGTAATGAAATTTTATAATTTAACTTTCACCTACCTCCAGATGTTGAATTTTCTAAAATTATGCATCATCTCGCACGCAGAATCGACGACTTCCAGCCTCCCGGACCAAAAGACTTCAGTGCGGTGGACCACATACATACCCTGCGGCAGGTTGTACAGAAGACCGAAGAGTAGGTACAATCTGTCACTTTGCCTGTATGTGGACTATGAGAAAACTTTTGATTCCGTCGAAATTTGGGCGGTGCTACAGGCCGTGATAAACTAAGAAATGAGGATATCCGCAATAGAACCAGAGTGACCGACATAGCCCAACAGATTAGTAAGCTGAAATGGCAATGGGCCGGCCATATAGCTCGAAGAACCGACGACCTTTGGGGAAAAAAGTTTCTCGAGTGGTATCCTCGTACCGGTAGGCGTAGTGTAGGGCGACCCCGCACTAGATGTAGTGACGACCTGGTAAGACATGCAGGACCGTGCTCTGTGGCATTCCTTCAGCAGTGGACTTGTGGAATGGCTGTAATGATGATGATGATGCAGACATGTTAGAAACCGATGACAATACTCATCAGGAGCATTACAGTTGTTTAAGTTTTTCTGAACTCCTATATTACCTACCTATATCTAATTTTCAAATAGCTTTTACCCGGAAACTTACCGCGAAGAACTTAATTGCAAAAAAACTGAGTTTAAAAGATTTTCGATAATAGAACTACTTACCCAAAGATCACTATTATAGATCTCGAATTTTTTTGTTTATCTTATGGGAAAACGTTAAAAACTGAAATTGAAGACCTATTAATTTTACGTAAGATCATAACACCTAACCCTTTAAAGACTACTTCGTTGGTCCAGTGGTCGCAAGCGCGACTGCTGATATGTGGTCCCGAGTTCGAATCCCGAATGGGGCCTAAATCAGTTACTGGGTTTTGCTAGGAAGAAATTCTCAGTAACAACCAGGAGTCAGAAAGTTGAAGGTGTTTCATCCCCGTGCCTCAGAAAGCACGTTTCTGCACAAGACCTCTCTCCGTTCGTATCGAATTGGCATCCCATCAGATTGTGAAGATGAAGAAATAGAAAGTGCACCTGTGCTTGCGCACGCATTCGTGCAGTATAATCCTGTCTAGCGCAGATGGCTAATCTCCGCTAAGACGAGCCGCTGTGACTGAAATTCAGTCCGGAGGACATAATTATAAAATTTTACCATTCCGAAGGTTATTCTGGATGGACGGACAGACAAAAATGATTACGTCTATGTCTACGTCTACGTTATGTCTTAAATGTGTTAACTTATTTCGATATTATAGAGATTGAAAATTATTAACAAACTCCTAATGAAAATTAGCCGTATAGTGGCGGTGAGAATCATCTACTCCACGTCATCTCGTGGATGAAGTAATAGGCAACAGAGGGAAACTAAAGAGGAGATAGGCAGCAATAATAATTAATAGCAGTTTTGGAAGTCTTTGAAGGCACCTGGAATTTACACAATCTCTGTAAGATAACAACTTTGCTGAATTGTTTTCAGAAAACTTATGATCTTGGAATCTGAGATATTGAGCCATGAGATTCAGTCGAAAATAAATATACTTGAACTTCAGAAGTACAATTGTTTTCTATTCGTGATTCCATTTTCAATGTAAAAATGTGGTTATTTTTATTGTGATAATTAAGAGAAGTTTACAAATATTTAAAATGGAATGAAATTGTTTTATTCTTTTCTTATTAATAATCATATTTTTTGAGCTTTAACTTAATGAATAGCTTAAGTACCGTCTTATATATAAGTTAATAATTATTTTGTAATGGAAATTATTTTATCGGCTTACGGTAGGTACTTCGAATTTCGTTGCAATCATTTTTCTGAGATATTGATTTATGCATTCCGACAAAATTCCTCAAGCTTGCTAAAAATGAAGTGGTCCCTATTATTTGTCATTTAGTTAATATTTGTTTTAAGCAGGGTATTTTCCCGTCATTATTGAAACAAGCCATAATAACTCCAGTACACAAAAATGGGAGCAGACACGACGTTAATATTACATTACAGGCCTATTTCTGTTCTTTCCTCTATCTCAAAAGTAATAGAAAAACTAATAAATAAACGACTAGTACAGTACATCAATAAATTTAAGGTACTGTCTGACATGCAATTTGGTTTTAGACAAGAAAAATCTACAGAAGACGCTATAACAGCTCTTACTTCCCTAATCGTTGACCTACTAGATCAAGGAAAGAAAACTCCAGCCGTTTTTCTAGACCTTAAAAAGGCCTTTGACACTGTCTCTATTCCTATCTTAATACTAGAAACAATTGGCATCGTAGGTACACCACTCAACTGGCAGTGTACTAGGCCCTACCTTGTTTCTTGTTTATATTAACAATTTATGCAACCTAAAAATAGATGGAGCTCAAATTTTTTCATACGCGGATGATACGGTTGTTGTATTTCAAGATACAACTTGGGAAGCAGTTCGCAAACGCACTGAACTGGGACTGGCTGAAATATCCTCCTGGCTTAGGACTAATTTGCTTACTCTTAATGACCAAAAAACTAACTACGTATGCTTTACCATCAATAACCGGACTCAGCCACAAAATGATTTTAATATAAGAATTCATAAATGTAAAAACGTTATTGATACTGATTGCAATTGTCCAACCATAAGCAAAGTATCGGCTATTAAGTATTTAGGTATAATTATAGACCAACGTTTGACGTGGCACAACCAAATAGAGCATCTTATGGGTAGGGTCAGAAAGCTAATTTGGATTTTTAAGCAACTTAGGCATATAGCATCAAAAAATATACTAACTAAAGTATACACTGCATTGGTACAATCTTTACTGACATATTGCATTCCTATATGAGGTGGCACGTCCAAAACCAAATTCATGGAAGTAGAAAGGGCTCAAAGAGCATTACTCAAAGTAATGTTTTTCAAACCGTACAGATTTTGTACAGAAAAATTATATAATATATGTGAGCTACTTACAGTAAGAAAACTATATATTTTACAAACCGTTTTAAAAACACATAGTAGTCTGTCTTATGATTCGAACATTTTGCAAAGAAGAAGAGGTACTGTAATAGTAACACAGAAAGTAAACACAAAATTTGCTTCTCATCAACATAAAAAGCAATCAGTTTTTATATACAATAAAATAAACAAAATTCTCAATATATATAAATTGAATAGATATAATTGTAAACAGTTGTTGACAAAATGGTTAAAACAATTAGACTATGATAAAACAGAGGCTATTTTACAATGCATTATTTAGACACTACAATATTAGTAAGCAAATACACATAAACACATACATAAAAACACACACACACACACACACACACACACACACACACACACACACACACACACACACAAGTTTCTTTAATAGTTTATATCCTACGGATTAAGTTGATCACTATTTGTATTATGGCTATGGAAGAGCGGGATCTTCTGGCACAGGTGTTTTTACACTTAAAAGAAGATTTCCACAATCTCAAGATCATTGTAAAAATTTTTAGTTGATCAATAAAGATTTATTATTATTATTATTATTATATCGCGCGTTGCGAAAGAGGGCTAGACGGACCAAAAGTTGTAATTCTACACTTTTTGCTATAGCTGTAAGCAGTGCGGCGTGCGCGCGTTTCTCAGTCTCTCTCTCTCTCTCTCTCTCCTCGCGTGTACGCGTCATAACTTTAATAAATTTTAATTAAAATATCAATGCTTATGTATTTAGCAAGCCGTGCGTGTTCTAACATATATATATATATATATATATATAAGTATATATCGGAAACGGCTCTAACGATTTTCATAAAATTTTGTGTGCAGGGAGTTTCTGGGGCAATAAATCGATCTAGCTAGGATTATTTTTAGAGAATGTCTTCTTTATAGGCAATGAAAAACTGGTACAATATCGTTAGAATAAGAAGATTAATTTGGACAGTTTATTAATGATTACAAATAGCTTCGAGCCCAGACCGACCGACCGACTTTTTTTAATTTTTTTTTCAAGTTCCTTTCTTCCAGAAAAAAATCCAAATCCAGAAAAATTAAGGCCATATCTGAATTTCCTATCCCCAAGAGCGCCAAAGACATAAAATCCTTCCTTGGACTGGTCTCCTATTACAGACGATTCATCCCGGACTTTTCCAAATTAGCCAAACCCCTTACCTTACTCCTTAAAAAAAGATACTCCCTTCAGCTGGAAGAACGAACAGCAATTGGCATTCGAAGTACTCAAACAAAAACTTATCACCTCACCGGTTTTAGCATATCCTGACTTCTCTAAACTTTTTATATTAACTTGTGACGCTTCCAATTTCGCTATTTCAGCAATACTATCCCAGGGGCAAATAGGAAAAGACCGTCCCATAGCTTTTGC